TAATATACTCACCATTTATTCACATTGAAAAAATAATTCCATTATCACAGGAAAATAAAAATAATATACCTACAAGAATCACCCAGTGTCGAGCATCCAGTCATCTACTACTTGTGTACCACTGAGGTGAAACACGCACATTCGCGGGGTACATATATTCACTGGTGCACTGAATATACGACAGCTTTAGGAATCACAAACACATAAACATCATTCTGCTGGAACCTCTTGCTCGCTTTATAAACCCCTCCTCAGGCAAATATACAATAAATCTTCACATACAGGTATGATATCAAAAGGATTTTTACAGTTGATCTGGAGAAGGGATAAATTTCTTGACAAATATCTGTATCCTCTCTAAGTGTTAGTAAAGCTGATGTTTACAGAGATCAATTGATATACAAGTTTCTTACATTTTTTCTTAATTATAAAATGTTGCAAAGTAGTAGGTTTAATGCTACATTATAATTTAAGTGTAAATGAAGGCAGAATCTCATGCAAATTTAAAATGTTATAAATTGAGATGTTTATTATGTACAATACAAAGCTACATCTATGTGATTTGAATTGCTGCCATTTTCCAATGAATATAACAATCAAGGAATATATGTGTTTCAAATGGAGATTTACCTATTGGTAAAAGCTGAAATAAACTTAGTTTACAAATTTATCATTACCTGTTCTATACGATCAAACTTTGCAATAAAGAAAATGTCCAGAATGAAATACTGAAGCACACTCTATATGTTTTGATTGAATTTTGTCAAAGGAATATGCCATTTTTCTGTCAACAATCTCTGAAAAATACTAAACAGAAAATGTCAATGCTTGTACATGTACGGTCATTACCTACCATGCCATCTTCAATAACCAACAATAGGCTAATATTATTTTCATGGACACAGTTAGCAGAAAGATGTGTGTATATATATTTTTGACTTACAACAGTATAAACTTTCTGAAACACAACTGCATGAAGTATATTTCACATATATTATATGAGCAAGAATGTTACCTATAGGCATCAATTATTGGGCTGGACTGAAGTGCTTGAAATATACAAAGACATCAATTTCTCCTTTAATTTTGTGGGTACTCAAGCACAAAAGTAGAAATCACTAACTGCAAAGCTGCTCTGTTTATAGGGACCTCTAAATGAAGTCAAGAAAGAAAAAAAATCTATCAGTAAATTAATTCTTTCATAGTATTTATGACTTTCCCTGTATCCTTCCACTTGGTTCCCTAACCTCTCATTATTTTTGGTCACATATTGTAGTTTTATGCACAGGTGTATACAGAACATATGATTTTTTTTTTTTTACTAAATACTACAGACCTATCTGATATTTTCAAGTTGTTTTATGAGTGTCTTTCATGCATTAATTCAAATAATTATCTCGGCTCTTTAAATCAACCATTTTACAGGGCAATCCATGCATACTTTATGAATACCTTTTAAAGACTATATATATATATATTCAGTTATTAATATGATGACATGCTAAATAACATAGAAAGGAAAAAAATATTCTTGATTATTTTTAATGAACCATTTACGAAAATCGATCAATTTATCATAATAAAAATATTTGTTGCAATAGAATGCACCTAATGAAACATTTACATCATAAATTGTCATTTCTCACAACATAAAATACATTATTCTGAGATCTTGAGAAAGACAATGTAAGATACACACTGGTCTACAGCCTTAACACAACACTGTTACTGTCTCCATCCTTTTGAAAAAAAAAGTTCAACAGAAAAGTGGGGAAACAAAAGCAATAAAGTCAAAATGAACAATCATCTAGTACCTTTGTCACCTCTGCCATGGTAAGCTTAATGCAATCATTCTAGTAGTTTTCATACAGAATATCTTAGGCAGATAAAAATGTGTGTTCATACTCCATATCGTAATGCAATTATGTTTCTTGTGTATTCTGACATCAGCTGGGTATTAAAAAAACTCTACCAGAATATAAGTCTAAGGGGGGGGAGGAAAATATGGAGAAAGGCACTGGACCACCAGGGATCAGTGCAGAAGGAAGCCCTTGCAATTATTGTGTTCACATTCACCAGGTCTGAATCAGCATCACCTTCCTTGAGCTAAAAGGGGTGCTTGCATGCACAGCATCCAAGCAAACACATGACATCAGTTCCAAAGGTAAGTTGAAATCCATGTGCAAAATACAAGCTGCTCAGTTCATGGTTATGGTCTGAGGTCTCTACATTCATTGTTCATTAGGGGGAGGTAGGCTCAAAGATATCAAAGATACAGGAGAACTTGAAGAACTAAAAACAGAGGATAGATTCAACATTATACTCGCATTCTCTTTTTACAGACAGTGTAATGATACTTTGAAGGTTGCCAGTTCTATGCTCCTGCTCAAATAAAGATGAACTTTACAAACAAGCAAACACAAAAAGGTGTCAAAAGGGATGAGGGTCAGATTTGCTTCAATATTCTTAAACTCCTGTAAACAATAATTTTTATCAAATAACATTTTATGATTTTTTTTTTCTTCATTAGGTCATTGGTTAGAATCAGTACTTATTTTTATCATATTCACAGAGAAGAAATCTTAAAGCTATTCTCCCATTTACCAGTGTCATACATTCAATTAATGCTACATTATAATGATTTATATATGGACACACAGCATACACTTCTCTGCAAGAAATTAACTATTCATGATGCTTGTTTCTTTTTCACAAAATAGAAATCTATCATATCTACATATACTAAACCATTACAAATTATTTTCATATCTATATATACTGCTATGCTACATTTGGAGCTCCTTAAATATTGCCTACGTTTACTATCAGTGTAATGACTTCTCAACTAAATGCAGTACTACAGACATAGACTTAAAATATACTATTTTCATGAATTTTCAGCTTTCTATAGAAACATATAACCAAATAGACTACTTACATAGCATTATTCTACTTTGTACAAAATGCTTTCTATCACACACTGAACTATACTGTCCACTCAATAAACTAGCATGAGACATGTAGAAATATATACTTGGGACCGACTTCTGATCCTTCTGGTGGCTGAAGATCGAGCCACACACTCTGCAGGCTGGGAAAAACGGTGAGATTTGTTCCAACGCTAGCAGACCTCTGGCTTTGGAAGTTGCGGAAGGAATGTTTTGTGTGAGATCTTTGTCTACTAGGGATAAAAGTTTGGGGTCCATTTCAAGGAAAAAAAGAAAGAGAGACAAAGACAGAGAGGTATACAGAGGCAGTGAGACAAGAACAGAGAGATAGGCAGAGACAGCAAGGTCGAGAAAGAGAGATAGGGACAGACAGAGCGATCATCACTGGACTTTGTTTATGAAAAGGAAAGACACCAAAAGTATTTAGTAACCCTAGTTATGTGTCAATAAAAAATGTAATTTATCATTATAATCCTTCTTCTACCTAACTTAAGAGAGATATACACTGCAGTAGCAGCATCAAGAATTACAAGAAACAAAACAAAAATTTTACATCTATTATCTACAAGAATCACAGAACAGATTTATATTAACATTGTGTAATTCTTTAAACCTTTCAGATTCAGTACCTCACAGTAACAAAACTAAATGGAAAGGGATAATACACAAATATTGTGTTAACATATAATGACTCCTCAAGAATAGACTAGACACTTCATAATTTAAACCACATTAATTCAAAACACATAAAAAAAAGAATGAATGCAAAGCTATGTAATAAATAGAATGTAATAAAAGACATTACGAAAATAAAATGCAAATTTAGATATAGCTGTAAGCAACATGCAATCATCTTATAAACAACTCCTGTATTAATAAGTAAACAGTCAAATAACAAAACAGAAAAATAAATAATGAGACTAGTATAGATTAAAACTATCAAACAAAAGTCATACCAATAATGACTAAAATGGCAATGACAGTGGTGACGATATGACAGTGACAATGAGCATAAGGATGATGATTCCTTGATGATGAAGATGGCAAAAATGATGGCAGGAATGACACATATAAAAAAATAATAATAATAAAATAATAATAATAATAATACTGATTCCCTTCATAATGGATTTAGAGATAGTGCCACTTTTAGAAAAAGATCTAATAAATAAATATGTTGCAAAAGAGCAAGACTGACAGAAAACCAAGTGGCTAGAATTCACTTTTTTTGGGGGGGAGATATGTTTCCTTTGTTACTCAGCTGTGCTTGTACAAGTGCCACAACACCTTCTCTGCTTTTACAGACATACGTGTTCCTGAGAGGAAGACAGAGAGATCCAAAGCACTGATTACCAGAAGAAACTTAGGCTACCTTTAGTTGCTTATACATTTCCCTTACGGTCCATTACTTTTCTTCGTTCCCTTCCTTCTTCTTTATTTTATTTTATTTTTTTGTAATTCCCAAAATCTTCATACGTGCAACAAAATGCATTCTTAGGCTGTCATTTGCTACAAGACTTTTGTTTCCAGGATCATGTATCCTCTGTAATATTACAGAATCAAAAATCCTGGATTTCTTTCTGTGGCTAATAATTATATTTTCATGTCTGTCAGATAATAACTGAACAAACAATACTGATCACTTTATGCAATAGTAACTAACTGTTCAGTTTCAAATAAAGTGGGCAGCTATATCATTTCCAATACATATTCACATATACCATAATTCAGTAAAACAAACAACACTTTCTTTTCCTTTCATGCATTACACTTTATGTAGATTATCAAATGGCACATAACCAGTTTAATTCCATGCTCAGCCAATTCACTATTTTCTAGGATGAGCTAGCCATAAATAAGATCAGAGTGCACGAACATGACGGATGTCAACGTATACTGATTACAATAACACTGGTTTTCATCAGATTCCATTTCAATTTCATAAGGAAACAACTGACTTCTTAGAATTTGAAAGCTGTGAACACACTTCTCATTCGTATTCAAAAACTGCCAATACGCTGTCTGCAGACACTTCTGCTAACACTCTATTTCTATCACATGTGGCACTGTTCTTGTTGAGGGCTTCCTTGGGCACCCTCGGCAGTGGTTCAAAGCATGAGTGGAGCAACAGGGATCAGGCGAATGACCAGGAGGTCTAAGATGTGGAGGGCCAGGTCTGCTGTTACTGCTGGGTACTGGATTGAGTCAACCATGCGCATGATTGCCTGCTGCGTCAGCTCCTTGCCTAGCATCATCTTCAAGAACCCTGGGAACAAAGTTTTGCTCATGTCTACATATAATTTCTATACATCTAGGAGCTTTGAGATAATTGGTTATATTTTTCTTGTCACCCTTATATTTTCAAAAGTCTGTACCCTTTGCATTAAAACTGTTCATTTGAAGAGCTGAATGATTCCAAAATGGATATTAACTATTTAAGAAAAGAAAAGTAATAACAGAAAAAGTTTGCATGTGAAACAGTTGTATGATTTCTTATACATTTAAGCTCTTTAAAAAATTACAACCAGCGCTGATTAAACAAGAACTCCTTAGGGGGTGTTAAATGGTAGCAGGATGTTACCTAAGGACAACTGACTTCACAGTCAATGTCATTATTAATGTTTTGAAAGTCTAGTTACAAGACAGAGGAGGGAAACTTAACTGTTCTAACATTTCATCCTTTCATCTTATGGCATGCTAGATTTACCTGGAATGAAGTTGCTCAAAGCCTCTTGAAGCTGTGCCCGAGATGCCTCTGTGTCACTGGGTTCTGGTTCTGGTGTGCTCTCTTCTGCATTGAGAATTGCTTCTCTCAAGGCATGGATATACTCTGTCATTTGAGGCTCAGAAGATAAGCGCTCTAATTCTGCCTGGAAGTAAAAACAACATGTTTATTTACTTGATGTTGTTCAAATGCAAAATAGAAAAAGGCTTATCCCCCTTACTGACGGGTGATGCTGTGAGGCGTGAAAACAAACCGCTCGAAATGTGGCGTGCGGCTGTACGCCTCGTTGGCACACCAAAGCGCGGAAAGCCAGTGATTCAGCTTGATGTACCAAACTCCTGCGCTCAAAGTCAGCGCACTGCCATTGATCGCCAGAGCGTAGAGTTTTTTTTTTTAGTTTTCTTAACCCGTCACCAAGGGATTAACTGATCCATAAAAAATAACAGACTATATCATTCTACTGTTGTGGTACTGATTAAATATATTAAATATGAAATCTTTTTATTATTTATTTCACAGTTAGGATAGCTATGATTTTGAAGCATCCTCACTACGTTCCAAGTAACAAGGTATTGCTTTCACAACAAGTCATAAGCATCATGGTACAAGAGGGATATTACACATTAATAAATTTCAGTACCCTTCATAGTTGTCTTTCACAAGGCTGGAAAACCCACTTTACCTGTAGCCATCTGTGAGTGATTCGTGCTGCAGTGAGAGTGAGAAGAGTAACGCATGGCTGATGAGTGATTGGGTGATCTGAAGGCGAGAGGATCTCCACCACAGCATCCATCACACCCACAGAGAGGGGCCATTTCTGCCAGGCACAGTCCTCCTCTCCCTCTGTAAAGGGCTCCTTTGATAAAACTGTTCCATCACTTGGGCAAGAAATTAGAACTGAAATAAATACAGATCTACTGCATTATTTCATGATGCTTTCTGCATATTTTGAAAGATGAAAACATTAAGTTTTCAAAATAGGTGATAATGTTAAAGCTAAAAGTCTTATACAGTTTGGACAGTCGACCAAATAATACAGCGGTCTGTTTCACAAACAGGGTATTGGGGAGAACTAGAAAATATTAATATGAATAGATATATAAAAAAAATCATAAGTGATAATTTCCAAATGACCTCATTCTCAAGAGAAAAAAGAAAAATAAGGTAGCACTCAACCTCAAAAGCACCTATCAATCCAAATTAAATGCCAATGCAGAGTATTTACAAGGCACAGATTCAAACCACCTTTTCAAACACATTACACAACTGAAACAAAAAATCTGCCACACACCATTTGGAGAATCTTCTTGGCTCTCTCTCCTTGTCAGTGACAGAGCATCACAAGCTTCCTCTTTGGATGTGGCACTAGGAGATGGAACTGCATGGAAGGCAGGTGAGGGGGGAGCCGTATATGCAGCATTTCCTCTCCCCACAACAACAGAAAGCTGGTGTTGGTGAAGCTGCTGTTCTGGAGACTGTTGCTGTACTGACTGTTGCTGCTCCTGTTGCTGTTGGAGCTGAATCCTTTTATAAAGAACGGGAGAGAAGAGGTTGCGTGACTCTCTTGCTTCATAAGCTGTGTCCACTAACTCGTCCCTCTCGGAGCCAGAAATTTCAACCATTAATGCTTCCTCAATCAGGCATTCCTGGAATATATGGTGATGAAGTAATAAACAGCAAGAATGAAAAGAGAAAAGGAAAAAAACAACCATAATGAAGCGAGAAAGAAAAAAAAATCCACCGTAACACAGCTTCTAACGCAAGAAAAATATTGCACAGAAAACAAAAATGGATCTGGAAAAACTGTAAAGACCCAAATAGCCACATGAAGAATATAATACAAACAAAGTTTACCTCTTCCTCTGCAGTGATATCCAGTTTCAGCTCATATTCTGCCTTGTTGCCACTGGAGAGAAAAGCAGCCAGTTTGTTTCGCTCGCTGAGGACCCCTCCACTCTTGCTCTTCAACATGCCATCTCCTCCTGCACCTCCGTTCACTCCAAGGCTCCCCGCAGACTCTCCTGCTGTGCTTGTGTCTGAGGACTCGAAGCTCGGAAGAGCCGTTTTAAGGCTATGGAAGACACCTGATACTGTCTTTGCCAGGAGCTGGAAGCAGAAACACACTACATTATTCTTTTGTGATTTATCTTATATCCCTGTAATATAGTGTGTACTCATTCTGAAACAACATACTTGCTGAATTATCACATATTACAAAGGCTAAGAAATAAAATGACTCAAGTTTGAGATTAAACACATCATCTTTGTTCTCCTTTTATATCCATATCAAAATATCAACTAGTCATCAGATTATTATCCAATTCCTATCAGAAAAAGCACCTTGTCCAGACGAGGAACATGCAGCTCCAGGGGCTTCTTGACAAATGAGACTGAAGAATCTGATCCATACGCAAGGAACTCCTTGACCGGGGTTGATATATTCACCTCTGGCCTCTGGATCACTGACTGTTGGTGCAAAACCTCTTCAATTAGTCTTTACAGATCAGGCAACATTAAAATATAAGTTGAAGAAAGATTTGAAGCAATAGAACAGAAAGACACTTCTTTCAATTTGAACTGAAAGACATGACAGATTTTCAATCCAGTGAAATGAAGGAGAGGAGACACATACCTGAAGATATTTTTCAAGGAACTGCTTCCGTGTAGCAATGGTTGTGGAGTCCAACTTGCTGAAGGGTAAGTTGAGCCATTTATTGGGGCCCTTGACTCCCTTCATTGCTGTTCGTAGTCTGGAATCTTCCTCCAGTGCTGCATGCAGGGTTAGGAACTCACGAAATCTGGGTGAGAGGGTGGGAATAATAATATGTGTTTTGGCATATGTGACTGCTGAAGTTCAGTCAAGCACATAGTTAGCATCATCACAAAAGAGTGGGAGAATAGAAGTGGCTTGTTAGATATAGAGCAGACAAGAATAATTGAAGATGCTTTTAGTTCTCAATCTGAAACTTGGACATCCTCTGAAATACACTAAATTAACCCATTGGATCCGGATGCTTTACTGCCATCATGTGGCCCAAAGTACAGGCATGAGACTAGAGTGGCCACTCTGATGGGTGTGCGGCTTCTACGGCTTTCTCTTTTTCCACATAAGCATTTTTAGCCTTTTTGCCCTTTTTCAATTTCTATATTTGTCATTTGATTTTCTTTATCCAGGTGGAAATAGCATTTTTCTTGCACTTGTGGCAAGTTATTTCCATCACCCCAGTCCTCAGCTGAAAGTTTCACGACAGCTTTTACCATGATGGCATGTCATGTTCCCCGCACCTCAAGCCAAATTTTTTCAAGACACGATGGTCATGCCATCCGGATCGAAGGGGTTAATACTTGGGTAGGAATGATCAGACTTGTTAGAGAGAAAAAATAATTAGTATATAGCCAGAAAGAAATGCCTCATCAAAATTCATGTTTCAAGTGTACAAACCATTCTGATGTATTTGGTATCATTTGAAATAAATCATCATAAAACTGCAGAAAAGAGTTTTTGAGTATGGCTTAACACAGCATTCAGAACACTCCAAAAATCATGCTCATGTCTACTATCACATGCATGTAGAACTCAAAAGTTAAAATTTTAATGCAGTTTAGTCAACCTCTTTGGATAATAAAAACGCAATTCACACTTTACAATAGGATGTAATGAAAGAGCCATTTTGTTCACTTCATTTCATTTTTTCATGCCTATATTTGTAAGTTCAGATTTGCTGATTTTTGTATTGGCTAAATAATTGTTATCTTTGAACAGCTATACACACTGAAGGACTTTCACAATAAGAACATTTACCCAAAATATAGCAAAGATGAAGTGTTGTGATATGTTGTGAGGTCAATCATAATTTTTTGTTTTTTTTTGTTTTTTACAGATGAATCATACTTTCAGAAACTATGAGATTATCAATTACCTATTGAAACTCACTATCTTCAGAACATATTTAAATCTTGGATTTAGTCGAGATTTAATTATGCACTTATTCTACATCATTTTTTTCTTATAATTAAAGAAAAAGAAAAAGAAATAGAAAAAAAAAAAAAAAAATATATATATATATATATGTGTGTGTGTATATATATATATATATATATATATATATATATATATATATATATATATATATATATATATATATACACACACACACACACACACACACACACACACACATATATATATTAGAACTTCTACTTATCACCAATGACATACCCAGTGTCACTGGCTCGTCAGAAGTTTTCTCAAATTTTTGTTTCTAAAATACAGCGACAAGCTGTTAGGTGCCTAATGTGCTTGAAGTATCAAGCTAGCAGGTGAAATTTTGGAAAATTGCCAATATGCACCAACAATCCCACACTGCTAGCCACTAGCCAATCTTTAACCCCTTGCCAATGGGTCACGTGCTGAGGCGTCATAACAAACCACTCAATCTGTATGCTGGGGCGACATGCCAAAGCGCTACAAGCCGGGGGTTCGGCTTGACGTACTGAACTCCCGCACTCAAAGTCGGCTCATTGCCATTAATCTCCAGAACGTAGAGATTTTTTTTTTCTTCACCCGGCATTACGGGGATAATACCTCAGTTAATGGTAAAACGGTATTAGCTCATTCAACATTGTTACAGAAAAGTAAGGAATATGGAAAGTGAATGGGAATGTATTTCTTTGAAAAGGTATGGTGCCCTACAATTTTTACAGTCTCTCTTTCTTCTGCTAGAGAGCTATAAGGATATCGATGCTTTTCCTAAACAAGGCTAACTTACATGCTGACACCTCTATTATTATCATTTGTTTTAATTTTGTACTTCAAGCACAAAATACATCCCTATTCCTCATCGATTAAAAACAAAAAAGACATCTTATATATCTTTTTTTATAACAGCCAACTGAGGGCAACCAATGATGAACAAAACAGCTCTTTACCTTAGTTTGCTAAGTATATAAAGATATAAAGATGCAGATCAGAAGATTTCCCCAAACTCTCCTGCAGGAGGAAATTCCAAGCCCTTCTATCACACACTATACTTCGCTACCTGCAGTTTCAATAGGATACCAACAGAGCCAGAGTAAGTGAAAGTCATGTTAAGAGCCTAGGCCACATTCATTACCATCTCTAGCCTCCAGTCTTCTTCACAGTCTTCTTGAGGAACTGGGGAATCGCATAATCTGAAATGTCACAATTTTGAAGTGTTTTTCACCTCTTCCTCTGCTTTTGTCGTATGCATATGCATAACTCCATGGCAACATGAAACAAGCACATCTATGACGATTATGATGATGATGATGATGATGATGATGATGATGATGATGATTATAACAGTTAGATAATTTGTCATCCCCTTTCATGCTTTCTTAATCAGATTCTTCTCATCTCCCAGTTTACATTTATATGGGATTTTTTATATCACTGTTTATCAATGATATCATAAAACTAGGAAAGAAGGAGGGGTGTGAGTCAGGGGGAAAGAAAGTAAGAAAGGAGACTGGAAAGGGGGAAGAGGATAAAAGCAAAGGGATATATAAGGGGAAAAAAAAGAGTACAAAAAAGGAAGGCAGGAAGAAAGGAAGGAACGAAAGAAAAGTTTAAAAAATAGGGTCAGAGGATGGAGAGAGATGGAGAAGAAGGAAAAGGATATACAAAAGCCTAAGATATGAGAGAATAAGGTTAAAAATAAGGTTAAAAAAATGAGACAACTAAAAAGATAAAGAGAGGAAAAAGAGAGGAGAGAGAAGACACAGAAGCAGCATAAAATATGTGAGAAAACTGATAAAAAGATAAAAGATAGGAGAGAGGAAATACAATGAAGCAAACATAATATAGCTTTTTTGTATTTTTTTTAGAAATTGTATTTATAAATTAATTTGCAAAATATATTCTAAAAAGATACCTAGAAACCATATTTACTGTTTAAAGATCACCGTTATAAAACATATTTTCAAAATATTTGGCGACATTCTATAACTGAAAATATTGGTGTCAAAATAATTACAGGACTTAAACGCCTTCAACTACATTCACTTTGAAATTACATGCAAGGTCTCCCTGTACTGTATAACATCCATATCATGCAAATTATATATACACACCAAACACTAAGTAACAACACTGCAAGTACTCTATCTACCCACAAAAGCTAAGCTATAATAAAACTTCTAATCACACATTATAAAACAAAAACAAAAAAAAACAAAAACAAAAAAAAACACACACACACACATACCTCCTTTTCACACAGTTTGTTTGAAGGACCATCCGTGGCTCTGGAACTGCCAAAGGTTCCTTCGCCACCTCCTCTGCCACTTCTGTCTGGGGTGTTGCTGCACTCTCACACAGGTAAATAGCATCATACTGAAATAAAATATTTGAATACATCATTCCCATTTCATACCTTAATATTTGTGCTGGGATGGCATGACATACATCTGATGTCCAATGTGATATTTAATTTATTTATTGTGTTTACACATAGATGGCTCTACACGTACTTAGTCACCAAGAAGTCAATGACTAAGCTTACCTACCTTTTTTATTACTGCTATTTGTATTTTAATAACATCATAATAATGATAATATCAATATTGATTTTAATAGCATTACAAATAGTCCTGAAATTCATAAAATGAAGAAATCAGGAGTGGTCAAGTTGAGCTACTAATCGAATCTTTGGTGGCTAAGCACTTGTGGAGTCACCCATGTGCAACAAAATTCACAAAGGAGAATACATATACACCTACATACAAAGGGTTAGTGGAAGCATTTAGGAAAAAATGTTACCATTTACAATAAAGGAAACTTGAGAATTATATATACATATATCAAC